TTTACAGTTTATTTTGCTTATAATTTTATTTTTGTTTCCTAATTTCAATCTGGTTGCAGTCTTTTTAGTAAGTTATTTTTAAATTGTCTTTCTTGCAGTCGGGTTTTTGATTTTTTTAATTGTTTCTTTTATTTAAGACTTTTTAGAGTCCCGACACACAACACAAATTTCTTAAGATAGCACGAGGTCCGACACAAACATGGCTCATTTTTACGCTATCAAAAACTTTTCAAACAAATTTATTATACCTAATATTAAATTTATACATATATCTTATATGTTTGTGATCCCCTTTTAATTTCCTTTATTTTGATACCCTACTCGGTAGGTTTGTTTTTTTTTAAATTAACGTATTACTACTTCATGCCAAAGATCCGTCATTTTGTTTTTCTTCTCAAACAGCTATTTAAGAATACGGGGGTTTTAAGACGAAGGTAACGATACCTTTACTGTCGTAAATCGTAATCCATCCTATCGTTTGGAAGATACGAGGTAATAAAGAAATTTACAAACAAATATACATGCATGCATACAAGATACGAACGAAAAACATAAACCTTCCTTGGTAGTCGGGTAAAATATGAAGTTACAATTGAAAGAGCGAGGTAACGATTCTTGCCAAGAAACGCCTTTCATCTAAACGATCGGCCAGTATGGTATAATTAGAAAGCAAAAAAAAAGCAAAGTGATAAATATTCAATTAAATTACACTGTGTAAGAAAAGACATAGCTTCAGTCGCACCTAGCGACATCTGGTGAAAGGAAGATTACTAGCCCTCATTATCACAACTGAACTGTGATCACCAATCTATCTGCCAAGCGGAGAGGAACTACAACAGGGGAAACCCACTTCCAGCTGTGAACTTCGCAGGCTGAAGATGATAACAGTTACCGTTACAACCTATTAAAGTCCATTGCTTAACAAAGGCCCCATAGATTGCCTCATTGGCGTGATATTTGCCATAGTTGCCACGCGGCAAGCTGGTTGGCAATCGTTATTTTTATTTTTAGTCGTTGTTAGGAAGACGCTGCTGCCCATTTCCTGATTTGTTTCCTTCTATCGCTTTTTATAACACAAACGGAGAGCGGGTAATATGGGGCAGTGGATATTCTTACACCGCCACTGCACGGTTACATGATGATAATTACGATTATAATTTTGAGTACTTATCGAGTTTTATTTGGCTTGTCCCTCGTACTAGTTGAATCTCATTTTTGTAAGTTAATGTAAATAATTATAATTTTTAACAAAAAGTAAAAACCAACTTCAAACTCCTAAAAAAAAGTTAAACTTAGTCGTTTATTAAATAACCTATTTAATAAAAAGAGAATTATCAAAATTGGTTTACTTTGTGCGAAGATATCGCGGAACATACATACAAAAAAAACATACACTCGAATTGAGAACCTCCTCCTTTTTGATGTCGGTTAAAAAACCGAGCGATCCGCCCCGGCTCTGCACGGGATCCCGACCACGTCACCTACCAGGCTTAATTGGGAATCTAAATTTCATCAAAATCGTTCGAGCCGTTTTCGAGTGTTAGCGAGACTAACGGACAGCAATTGACTTATGTATAGAGAAGATTGTATGTATTCGGATCTGAATATGTTTGACTGAGCTGAGCTTGTGAGTGCCTCCGTGTATTTGATACTATCAAGAGTTATATATAATTTTATTTATTTATTTTATTTAAGAATCCAAGCCTACCTCCGATTAGGGTTGCCAATTTCATCAAATATATATATATATATATATATATATATATATATATATATATAGTATGTAATAGTGTATTAGTGAGTTGTTGGAACAAAAATAACTTTAAACGGATTTTTTTAAATAATAATATTTTGATAATGTGACTGTGAATGTTATAATATAAACATTAATATTTGTTTGTTCGTATTTTATGTGCTGCCATACCGTTCATCGGATTGCGCTATAATTTAAAATTAAAAAACAGCTGGACTGTGTGCTCTTTGTTCACCTTTATTCTATATAAAAAAAATTGAAAACATTATAAAATATGCAATATGCTTAAACCTTACCAAATTTTCTCGTCACGTATATAGATTAGATATCGAAACATAAATACAACAATTGTGTAAAAAGAAAAAAGGAAAAGCTATCTAACACACACATCTCATTATATTATCTACACGTTCAAACGCCACGACAACGGCTCTCGTTTGACGTCAACTATCACTAGTTTGCCATGACAGTTGCATATCTTTCGACAAAAATGAAATTATAGATATAACCGCAGAACATTATTACTTTTGCTATCACCTATTTGAACCTATAGAAAGACACGCGAAAAGATCTAGTTCTATACGTGTTTTATTCATTTAATTGAAACACGTATAGAAATACACACGAAAAATTTAATCCAGGACAAATCGGGACGCATTCAAGTTTCTAAACAATTTGACGTAAAATATTTTTATATTATTGTTCATTTACATGTATTTTATATCTATATTTATTACGTCTTTTTTATTCGTATTGAACTTGAACATTAAGATTTGAACACTATTAATTTTTCCAAGTAAGCTGTAAGTGTCAATTTATAATACTTATTTATTACAAATAAATAAAATTGAAGAGTCCGTTTGTAATGACTAAATTACAGCTTTTTACTATATGCATATGAAAGGATATACGGCACTTATAACAAAAACACGATTTTTAAAATTTTAGTCTGTCAGTCTTTCTGTCTGTCTGTTCGTCTGTTTGTTCCGGCTAATCTCCGAAGCGACTGGACCGATTTTGACCGGACTTTCACTGGCAGATAGCTGATGTTATAAGAAGTAACTTGGGCTACTTTTATTTTAGAAAAAAGAATTATGGTTCCGCGCATATAATTGAAACCCATAAATCTAATCGTAATAAATTATGCACGGGCGAAGTCACGGGGAACAGCTAGTTATTTAAATAAAAAAATGGAACTTATATAAAAAAATTCCAAAATATTAAAATAACAAATAATTATTAAAAAAATTACAGAACTCGCTTTGCAAATTCGTAAAATAACACAAAATAAACGTACTACATTTGTACATATAGGAAATAATATATTCGCATTGCAATATTAACATTGTTCTTTTCTTCCTTAGTTGTATAAATAATGTTAAAAGCACATTTAGCTAACTGCAACAATCGCAACGCTATAAAACAATTCAAAATTTAATAAAACTTTGAAACGCGAAGATCTTTTTCAATGGGACCGCCTTGGCAGTTTTCTCTAATTGATAAACTTCTCTATTAAATCTATGGGACCCGCGTTTATCCCTTTAGGTACTAAGTTCTATATTAAATTAACAAATACATGTGAAATATTCGAAACAACACGTCTGATTCTTTAGAACTAACATTTGCACCAGGCGTTGTTTCATACAGTAAAAGAGTTCACCAATTGCAATTAACTCTGCTATAATTTTATTAAACAGAATGAGTATAAGCAAGAGTACCCTAAACCGTAGAGCATGTATGAAGGGAATAATGAAAGTGATCAAAGCAAAACAAGTATGTAAGGATCGTAGCAAGTGGAAAGAAGTGGTCTCTGCCTACCCCTACGGGAAAGAGGCGTGATTATATGTATGTATGTATGTATGAGTACAAGCAAAACATTTGTTGCGCCATGCGTTGAACGTTTTGTTTAATTTGTGGCCAATCCGGAAAATTTAGTAGCTTTCGATAAATGACAGCGTAACAACGAATTTGTATAATAGATATAAAATCTAGAACCGTGTAGTGGCGGTGTAAGAATATCCCGTGGAAGTTATAAGAGGTCATGGAGGAAATAAGTCAAGAGATGAGAGATTCCTAAATAACAACGAAAAATAAAGACAGCGGTTGCAAACCATAGTGTACCCCATATGAGATCTGTGGGGTAGACTTTTGTTCAATAGTGGACTTTTGATAGGCAAATATAAAAAACTAAGTCAGAGAGTGGAATCAGTATCCAAGGGCCGGGTTATCCGGTACTAGTCGTCAGTTATTTATTCTATTCTCTGACTGCTTGGTTCTTTTCTGGTCGTATTTATACCACAGTCATAATATCCCCCAGAGCCGAATTTTGATCACTGCGGCCTTTCTCAACGGATACTAACCGTCCGTTCAAGACTGGAAGAACGCACGTGGGTGTCAGCGCAGCCACTGGTGCACTCTCTATCCCCTCACTCTCAAAGTCCGATGGGAAGGAGATCCGGCACAACCGGAGAGAAATCAGGTGCAACATCAACGACTTAACGTACTTTCCTTTTGTTTAGGATGAAACATCGCCTACTTCCACGTGCATATTACTGCAGCAGCGTGACTCTTCCCAAGTAATAATATTTTGCTGCTTTCGCAAAATTGAATTATATACGCTAAGGTTAAAAAATGAAAAATAAAGCCAAGGAACTGATGAAGAATTGAATAAATACTAAAGAAAGTTACTTTCAAAGGGTTTTTTATAGGATAGGGTGACAAACGAGCACACAGTCCACCTGATGGTAAATGGTTGCTGTGGCACTTAGACATCTACATCTATCCTCATTTGCAAACCAAAATGCAGATGCATTGTCACCCGTCAGGAATAAGATGGAATGCCTCTTTTCCAGTAAAAAGGGTCTCCGGTTCTCTACACTCACCATACGAAACAGTGTTAAGCTGCTATTTTACGCTGGTATTTTGTGAGAGCGTGGTCCTTCCCCGGTCGAGCCGACCCATTCAAGCGTGGCAGGGCTAGCCATCTTAGCACCACGCTTTCACAGATAATGGAAAAAATTGGAACACAATGCTGCTGTGTTTCGTAATAGTTAGGAACGAGAATCTGGGTTCCTTTTAAAATTATATAATACTAATGTTCCTCCAATATATGCATCTGCATTTTTATCCTTAATCGAGAATAGATGTGAAATGTCTAAAGATCACAGCACCTTCTTATCATTAAATCATCAGATGGGCTGTGTCTTCGTTTGCCACCCTTTCTTACATATACTACTAGGTCACTTACCACAGTGATGATGCCAGCTGTAATCATAATTTTATTCACCGCCATATTAGTCTAGTTCTAATCTAAATCACTATATTAAAAAAAATCAAATAAAAAAAGCCCTCAACACTATAAGTTAGCTGTCACAGTGTACTCTTAAACAGTAGATCAATTTGATATATCAAGAGACATAACAAAACACGATAAATTTAAACATTTTATAAACATATAATTATGATCGCTATAAAGTCTTTAAGAGACTATGACTAAGATTCCGGTCTTTGGGCGCAGTGACGACACAGCCGATTGACGCAAACGCAGCATCGCACTAAAGCAAAAGACACACCTGTATCACAATCTCTCTGTTCTCAGGCGATAACAGTTACAATCGAATCGTAGATACACCTAGTCAAGTTGAGATAAGCTCAGTTTTCTAATACGGTTACACACCTAAATCTTCTGAAACATTCGATAATGTATTGTAAGAAATTACTCCACTTTTGATGTTAGAAATTAATCTCAAAATTATTTAAATAAAAGGACACTAATAGGTAACAAACCCTTCTTACTATCAGGACCCAATTACATGCTAACACCAAAGTATGCAAACCAACAGCAACACTACCCATCTCAATGTAACACAGGGCAGCCTCTCAGCAACACGACCTTTCTTGTCTACATTAGTAGAATACTCCAACGAGCATAGTAACGACAGTGAGACTCGTAGAATTATAGATTGAGACCTCCCAATCGCCTGCGCGATACTTTATACTGCTAGAACAAGTGGGGGATCACCGTTATACCTTCATTTGTTCGTATTTCATTTTTTTAACCTCATTCTCGACAGTATATATAACAATTTGTTAAGCTACCAGTAGAAAGTTATTGTAGTAGTTCTATTTTACAACTATCAAATTTTGACATATTACGTGTATCTTCACGGTGAACGCCAATAGTGTTGGATACTCTGATTTTAAGAGGACGTGCGCCTTGCATAACTTCCGAACAAACATTATTATAGGATCCAGACTGGTTTTCTTCGATGTACAATTAACAATATGAACCTGAATAACTTTTTATCTGACCGTGAGTGGTGGTGTAAGAATATCCACTACTTCATATCGTTCCATGGGTGTCGTAATCAAACGAGAAGACGGGCAGCGTCGTGTTCCTCATAACAACTGAAAAAAAAAACTCTGCGCTTGCTAATCCTTGCCAACCGTGGCAACTAAGGGAAAATCATCTTTAAGAGGCAATCTACAAGGCCTACATATATCACACTGAAAGCTCTGCGCTCCTAGCCACTCATAAATGTTTGAATTTCGAATGTTATATTTTTCTAAACATAAGAATCTCATTTAATGATTTAAATAATTTTGGCGGGAAGTCGCTTGCCAATGAGGGCTAATTATTTTCTGTTCACCAGATGTCGCTAGTTGACACTGAGGTAAAGTTTTTTTTGTTACACAATGTAATTTTATTAAGAAGTTGTTTTTAATAAAAGTTTATCAGTTTTTAGAGTATTATATTAATATACAAAACAATGCGTCAGTATGATCTTTATTTTTTGGATATTTTTATTTTTTTAATTTTTCTACTTTTATGAATATCTGTGGTTTTGTTTAAGTATTTATTTTTAATGTTATTGTTATAAAATATAGCTAATAGTACAGAAAGAAACAATAACTTTTACATTTTCCGAACAAATTAGCTTTCCCGCTAGGAAATCTGTCAAATATTTATACCTCACTTTCTAGTGGCGCCGCCATGGTGGCAGAAAATGGCGTGGATGTCCTACTTACTTACTTATCTTCACGCACAATCCCTGACGGGGTAGCCAGAGAGAACAGATCGCCAAGTGTCACGATCCTTACATACCTCTTTCGCTTCTTTCAGATTCATTATCTTCTTCATGCATGCACGTCTAAGTATCCGAGTACTTTTGACCCTACCCTCTTCGAGCAATTTGCTCACATGGTCTTCGAATGTTAGTCTCGGTCTACCTCGACACCTTTTAATATTAACTTTCGCGCTATATATTTTCACCATTCGGTCTTCACTCATTCGCTCAACGTGCCCAAACCACCGAAGCACGCCCTTATCAATTTTTGTGATAAGGTCATCTTTCAAACCTGCCATATTGCGAATCTCTTCGTTTCGCTTTCGGTCGGCCATGGTAACGCCGCACATTTTACGAAGAGATCGCATCTCCACTGCATTCAACTTACTTTTATGCTTCTTCTGGCATACCCAGGTTTCGCTGCCATATAACAAAGTCGGTACCAACACTGCGTTATGTATTGCAAGGCGTGCACTCTTCGCTACGCCTTGCCTTTTGACTAACGCAGCCAGGGCACCATTGACTTTGTTCCCGGCAGCGACACGCCTGTCCACATCTAAATCACATCTTCCATCCCGACTAAAAGCACTCCCCAAGTATACAATTTCATTTACCTGTTCTAGACATTCCTGATTTACCCATATTTCACACTTCGTTCTCTCTTCGTCCCTTTCAAATACCAGAACCTTAGTTTTATTAGCATTCAAACGGAGACCTTTAATTTCACATTCCTCTTTCATACACGTGACTAATGCCTGCAGTTCTGCCTCTGATGGTGCAATGGATGTCCTCATTGTTTATTATGACAAGTTGATATTACTAAACATAAAAATGGAATATACACGAAATGATTTTAGTGCGATGATTTTTATTTTTATTTTAAACTCTCTGCAATTGCACTGCTCATCTTCAAAATGTTTTTGGGCGAGAAGCACCTAATTTAAGCACCGTTAGGTTTCGTGACAATGTTTCTCTCCATACCAAATTTTAATCATGGCGGCCAGTCTCAACAAGACTAGCCAGAATTAGCCTACGAGCGCGTGCGCAAGCACAGTTTCACTCGTATTGGTCATAGGACGGAAATCCGACACGGACGGAGTGAGATCAGGCGCAGTACCAACAATTTTACGTGATTTCCTGGGCACGAGTGTTAAGCAACGCTAACTGTCAGAATCCGAGTTTACTGAGACTTTTTTGACAGAAAAACTCAATTTTTGGGCCGTCCCGAAACTCTAACTCCCTCTGATCTTAATATTTTTAATTAAATCTTTGATAGCACTATTACAAATTTTCGATAGGAATTACACATTGGAAATACTACAGTTAAGTTTAAAAATAAAATAAAAATAAAAAAAAAACAAGATAATTGACAATTGAGGAAAGTATACATACAAGAAAGGATGGGAAGTAGGATGGGAAATATTGAAACAGTACAACAATATTGAAATATTAGAGTTGAAATAAGCTTTGAGTAGATTTTTGAAGGTAAAAGAAATTGAGAGCGACGATTATGTAGAGGCTTCAAGTTCCACTAGCGTTCAACTGTAACAGAAAATTATTTAATGTAGAAGGAAGATAATTTACTGGAGTAAAAAGGGAACGATTGTTAGAATATATTTCACCATTCAACATGCCTTAGCCTCACTAAAATTCTGCAATCATTAACACACCGAAACATGAGAAAGTTTTCACGTGATAGTTTGAACTCGTATAATGCTGTCTCATAATAAGCGTGAGTTATGCATGGCAGTGTGAACGTTACAACTTTGACGCGGGACACCGCGGGACATCGCGGGACGATATACTAGTACATAATAATTAAAAAATATATATGTATATCTTCGTGCTAATATGTTCGCTGTAATTAGTTTTAATTCACAACATCACTTATATGTACTAAATGCCTTGCACCTTATAAGTAGTAAGTACATGCGAGTTTTTCGAGCACTAAGTCCGTTTGTCACCATCGAGTATGAAGACGCTGGTAAGTCAATTATTATTAATTGTTTTAAAAAAGTTAAAACAAAAGACGACAGCCTTAGTCCTGAACGGAGTTTACATTCTTTATTAAAACTAAGCTCAGGCAATTGCGGTTGCGCGGCTGCTACAAGGATGCGCCAAAGAACAGTGAAAACCCCTAATATCCCATCTGCTTATCTTAAGGTTGTTCATCAGCAACTGCCTTTCTCTTTCATGACGGGCGCATTCTATCAGCAAGTGGTAAACATCTACAATTCTGATAATAACGGGTTGGGGAAATGGCTTTTTTCATTATGTTTGCAAATTGTGCGGTTGGAACATGTCCGGAAGGCAGTCTATAAGCTAATTTAATTATGTTTTTCTCATGTTTCATTTTCCACTAACAAACCTTGTTGTACGAAATAGACGACTCTGTAATTTTCAATAGTTATTTTCCATTCAAATTTTTTTTAAAGAAATTAAATGACGTGGATATATAAGTGGCTCCCACACACCCTGCAATGAATAAGAGGAGATAGGGTCCGATAACTGGATCTGTATTCTAGAATATAAATTATGTTAAAGATGTTAATAACTATTTGTCTAAGATCCGACTAGTAAAATAAAATTATTTGACCGCTGAGTTAGTCACAGATCACAACAGTCTATTTTAGAAGCGAAACGCGTGTCGTATTGTCGACGACGATGGTGTGCACTTTTCTAGTGTATTGTTGTTGGGATTTGTGGTGACGAGAATAGTGCACCCAGATAGTCCACCTACCCAGGGGCGGGGTGCTCCTCAAACTAGGTTTACATATCGTTTTATTTTATTAGAAAGAACTTGGCACATTAATTTATAACATGTTTAATTTAATGGATTTCTACAAAGTAATGCTTGTTTCTATTATTTATAAGATACTAGTATTTTATTATATACAATATTAAAAACTATAATAAAAAAAAAACTAAAACTAGTAACATAATTATCATACAGTCCTACTCCCCGCGGTATCGTGCCAAGAACGCTGGCTGCGTTTCCCCGCTGGATGGCTATACTTAGCCTTTAAGCGAGAAAAGAACCAGCCCTATTATCACTAGCAGTAACGACCAGCCGCGGATGGAGCTCCTTTAGGAACTCCACAGCACCTGGACCCTACGGACCGATAGTTTCTACAGCAAATGGCACAAATATGTAGTCATCTCTCAGAGACTCATATTTGCGCCACTTACTCAGTTCAGCTATCTCTGATGCCGCCCCGGCTCTAAACGAGGTACCCCTGAGATGAGCGGCCGCCAGTGTCTCTCTCTCCCAAGCGACCAATGTCATACCATCGGCTCTCCTGCCATCGTCTCTAAATATTCCACAAGGCTTACTTATAATAAATTTTATGTTTAGTCTACCGAGTCAGTTAGTAAGGAAATAAATTGTTAATTTATAGATATAATGTAGTGAAGTATTATTATTAACATTATTTACTAGGTTTTACAGTTAATGCTCTTGACCTTGCTGAAAAATGGTCTATGTGGAACCGTCAGAGAACCTAATTCAAACTCATCTGAACCTAAAGATATGTAAGTATATACCTTTATTTACTTTGTAATTTTAATCTTTAGTGTTGTCGTAGAAATCGGATTCTGGTGGGATACTTAGGTATTAAATGCTGTGGGTATGCTTTATTATTTTCATTTTGCTTGTATAATTTCTAAATACATTGTTTCTTTATATAACATTTTAGCGGTAAAGAACCAGTTTAACTAATCACGAGTACACGTGGCAACTGACATCAGTACAATTGTAGTAAACTTTAAATAAAGACGATAACCTATAGGTCAATACCGAGGACTAAGATGGCTTGCTTTGTAGCTCGTAAATACAGCACGTCGTTCCTATAAAACGAAACTAATTTTACGAATTCTATCGCGTTTAATTTTTACTTTTTCGGCTGCATTCGGTTTTTAAATATTAATTTAGATCCAATCTACGCAGAACGAGCTTACGGTATCTTGAAAGTCCTGCAGTGGTATGCCTAAGTTTGGATTTAATTTTATTAATTACTAGCTGTTCCCCGCGACTTCGGGCACGTGTTTTCGGGGTTTTAATTTTTTTGCACGGAACCCTAATCCTTTTTCTAAAATAAAAGTAGCCTAAGTTACTCCTTGTGACATCAGCTATCTGCCAGTGAAAATCCCGTCAAAATCGGTCCAGCCGTTTCGGAGATTAGCTGGAACAAACAGACAGACAGACAAAAACTTTAAAAATTGTATTTTTGTTATTAGTACCATATATACTATCATATGCGTTTAGTAAAAAGCTGTAATTTGACGTTACAAACAGACACTTCAATTTTATTTATTTGTATAGATATACCGACCGACGCGACGCTACGGGAAGTCTGCAGTCTGTGAAAGTGTTCAAGATTAGATCAGATTTGATAGACCAGAAATCCTCGCATAAGAACACCGATTCCTACCAAAAATTAATCGTGAGGCTATTGAAATAAAAAAAGCATCTTAATTTCAATAGAGAAGATGTATATATAGGTGCTATCATCTGCTTGGGATCCTATAATTAATAAAATTAAATCCAAACCCTAGCATACACAAAAGTTTTTTTTTATAGTACAAGGGTGACAAACGAGCACACAGTCCGCCTGATGGTAAGTGGTTGCTGTGGCCCATAGACATCTACATCTATCTTCGATTACGAATGAAAATGCAGATGCGTTGTCACCCGTGAGGACTAAGATGGAATGCCTCGTTTCCAGTAAAAAGTGCGCAGTTCCTGTATGATAGCTATTTAGCATTTATCATAATTCGACGAGAATTATTACACACACTTATTCCTTAGTTAGTTTTTTCTTAATGTAAGTACCATTATAATATAATAAGCTACACATTACAGTAAATGTTGTGTATACCTGTAATTGTCAAACATATTTAACCATTTACTTTTGTTATCGTGTTGTTGTTAATGTTTTATGTATTTTGCTGATGCTATACAAAAAGATAAATAAATTTTAAAAAAAATTCTCTTTTCGCTTTATATGTCTGACCGAATTACCTCGTTCGTAGAAACGGAACAAAGCCGAGTAAACTTTTGTTAAGCTCCGCCTCTACGCCGGGTATTTAATTTCTATTTATAAACGCTTCATATATGCTAACTATTTATGGATCGTTTAAAGCTTTTTTCATTTTATGTCATCATAAGTTGCTGTATGAAATATGAATAATTTTTAATAATATAGACTGTTTTACATTCGCCTCGTATGCAAAAAAAAAAACGATTCGTTACGAGGAACGAAACGTTTCTTAAATATTGGAATCCAGCAAAAATCAAGTAAAGAATACATCAGCATGTAATGGCGGTGTAATAATATCCACCAGCCCATATCGTCCCGTGGGTGTGGATGGCATTAGACCACAAACCAGGAGACGGGCAGCAACGTCTTCCTAAAAACAAGTTATGGGGGAGGCCTCAGTAACGGTAATTATGTAAAACGTATTGAGAATTTAAAACTATTTATTTAGCAACTCGACAAAGACAACTTGGTCTAGTCCAAAACAAACGGGTACCCGAAAACCTAGTAATGTAACTCCCGAGGAGGAGGACAACTCGGGAGTAGTCCCGAGACATTGTGATAGTACTAGTACTGCCCCCGGGACTTGCTTCCAATAAATCAAAGCGAGAGAGGGGCCCTGATTGCGCTCCGAACGGAGATTCCGGATCTCCTCGTATACACTCACGGAGACCCCCGTGGTGCTTTAGTTGGTGGGAGTCTGGCATAACCTTTCTGTTGTCCTCGCAGCAGCAGCTGAAGATAGCCATGGAGATTTCCTCACGATAAAAAAAAACAACTTGGTCTACAGTAATGTGTGTTGTTACAGGTACGTGGTCCGAGCTACGGTGTACCAAGTTGGTATCCTAACGAATAAAACTGACGAAGCAATGGAAAGGGAACAGTAAGAAACCAATTTAAAAAAGGCTTATGTGTCATAAGTAAAAATAATCATATGGTGACGGCGAAAGAGAATCCATCATTCCATTTCCTGAGGGTGTCGTAAGAGACTTATCTGCCATTCCCAACGAATGGCAGATAAGTCCTAACGCTGTCGATAGATGGCTATATAACCTTGCATACTCACATTGCTACCGTTACAGCCTATTATAGTCCACTGCTGGACATAGGCATGCCACATAGATTGCCCCATTGGAGGGATATTTTCCATAGTTGCGATGCTTGGCGAGCGAATTGGTAACCGCAGTTTATTTTTTATTTTTAGTCGTTATTAGGAAGACGTTGCTGCACATATCCTGATTCGTTTCCCGCTATCGCCTCTTACCACACCCACGGGATGATATGGGGGAGTGGATATTCATACACCGCCACTACACGGTAAACCGTTTTGTTTATGGGTCCTTAAATACCCAGAGCAGAACGGGCATTGTCACAGGTGCGATACGTCTGGAACTGTTGTCGATCACCTGTCAAGCGCGACGATTAAGTTAAACCTTCTCTACAATGAAAGAGGCTTGGGCTGATAAAGGAGAAAAACCTTTAAGACACAAACTTACTCCTTTTTATAAAGCCGGCAACTGCAATTCGTCACGAGGTTCAGTTGGGTGGCGGTAGTCGCTTAATAAGTGAACAGTCTGCCCCCTTTATCCCCCGGTTTCCATGGACGGCCACTTACCATCAAGTGGACTACAGTCCTATCCTACAGGATCGTTTGTCACTTCAGTTTTATAAAAAAAAAATATCAGTTAGCCGTATACAACATCACCTTCTTTGCTAAAACAGTTTCAAATTGAAAAGGCCTTTTATTTGTGTCCACGTAGAGGCAATCAAGAAGCAATCACCTTCTACCATCACAACGGAGCGGCTGTGAACTTGAGTGGCATCTCTAACCCCCTTATGACCAATGTGACCGCGCAGAGCATGGTCGGAGTGGCACCAGTCGCAGAAGATGGAAACCAATCCAACAGGATCTTGCCGTGGTCTACATTGGAGAAGTTGGCGGCGATGCAGCCTGCGCCAAATATATCTGGTAAGAAAAAAAAAAGAAAAAAAAGAAAGAAAAAAAGTATTTTTTTCTTTCTTTTTTTCACCCCTCTTCTTTTCTTCTTTCTCACCCCCTCTCCCACACTCCCTCACGCACACACTAAGATTTTCTCCTGTATCGTGGAGGCAGATAAAAATATAAATTGCACAAGGACACTACACACGACGACCAAACAACTACATGATTTGTATGTTATACAAATACTTGATCCGCGCGCGATTCAAACCTGCGGCTCTCAACGCCACAACTCAATGCTAAGCTATCAGAGGCATAAGGGTTCGACTTCTGTTGTGAACGTCACCTTTTCTTTTACATGGAGAAATTTTATAACATTATTTTAAATGACGCTTCATTTTAATAGACGCTAGTAATTCATTTATTTGTATTAGTTAGTCAATAATATATTTATATCAATAAAAATTAACTACGATAGGAACTTCGCTCCAACCGAGTATTCCGCGACACTCACGCATGTTTTCATTTTTTGTAGGGAACAAGTGAGACAAACGAGTACACAGTCTGTGGTCATCTACATTTATCATCCATTAAGAATTAAAATGCAGATGCTTTGACACGCCTGAGGACTAACATGGAATGGGCCTTCGGATCTCTACACCATACAGTACTTAGATGGATTAGAGGGTGGTCGTTCCCCGTGTGAGCCGACCCATTCGTGCTATCATAATATAGCTGCAGGATGGCTCTATCATGTATAACCTCTGTTCGTCAAACGGACCTCATTCAGCTGATGCTATTAATAAAACCATTTCGTTGGTTTTCAGTGCGTTCGAAAGGCAAAAAGCTAAATAGAAATAATTGCCTCAATTTATATTACAGGCGTTTTATTTGTAATACAAATTCTCAGTATCTCTATCATGATTGCAGTCATCACAAGTGCACTGATAAACTCAGTCTTAGTCTTACCCTTAGATTGCAATCAAATGTGGTTTTGAGCAGAATTAACTTAATCTAGGACGCAAAACATTTTGTATAACAATATGCAAAAACCCAGATAAAATAAGATAGTGTTTATTGAAATACAATTTGTGAGCTATCAAAGCTGGACGCTCGAAGCGAAGTGGCTTACTAATGAGTCGCAGCGTTAAATGTTCGAATCACACAGTAATAACCAACAAATAGTTGTTCCGGATCTGGATATTTGTTCTTGTGAAATTTATGTATACTGCCCTCGTGATACAGGAGAAAATGCTAGTGTGAAGGTAACGTAAACATAAACATAAACATAAACACTCACGCCTGTCACCCAGAGGGGTAGGCAGAGATTATGGACTTCCATTTGGCACGAATCCTGACACACCTCTCTCGCTTCCTCCACATCCATATACCTACGCATACACGCTCGTCGGTTAAAGGTACTCTTGATTTGGCCCATTTTTAATATATCGCCAATTTGGTCGATAAACTTTCGCCTAGGGCGACCCTTCCCGACTATGCCGTTCACCTCTGCAACATAAATTTGCTTTGTCACTCTTTCCTCATTCATTCTTTCTACATGGCCAAACCACCGAAGCATTCCTTTCTTAATCCTGGTCACAATATCATCTTGCAAACCACACTCTTCTCTTATTAAACAATTTCTCACTCTGTCATTCAGCTTCATCCCTAACATACTCCTTACTGACCGCATTTCTACAGCATTTATTCTACTCTCATGCTTCTTCTGCCACACCCAACTGTCACTACCATACATTAAAGTAGGTACTAACACAGCATTGTGAATTGCCATACGTGCCTTTTTGGACACATTCTGACTTTTCACAATAGAGTGTAGAGCCCCATTCACTCTATTTCCTGCATTCACTCGTCGTTCTATATCCTTATCATATCTACCATCCCCGCTAAACACACATCCCAAATATACAAACTCATCTACTTGCTCTACCAACTCCCCTTCTATTCTTATTTCACATATCGTTTTACTTTCTTCTCTTTCAAAAACCATAACTTTCGTCTTACTTGCGTTCACTTTCATTCCCTTTTCTTTTAATGTCCTGTTCATTAATGTAACCATCATTTGCAACTCGGCTGCCGACTACGCAAGTATGACTTGATCATCGGCGTACAAAAGGCATTTGACGGTTAACTCACCCATTCTTAACCCGCATCCTTCTACTTTCAAATTTTCCAAACAACTGTCCATAAATAGGTTGAACAACCACGGGGAAGCCACACAGCCCTGTCTGACACCTTTATGGATGTCAAACCAGTCCGAGTAGGCCCCGTTGATCCTGACACAAGCACTAGAGTCCCTATATAGAGACTTCAATGCCTGTATCAGACCAGCGCTCAACCCAAATGAGTTCAGTGTTTGCCATAACACATTAACGATTATTATTGAAGGTAACGTATTTTAAAGAAAACAAAACAAAAGCTTAAAAATGATTAATATAGCAATATAATTAACAGTATATTAATGCCGCATAACTCCCGTTTATTACCAATTATAATCAGCAAATAAGTATATTTTTTTACGTTATTTAATGATCTCTAAATCCCAGAGCTGCCGAGGTTCTAGTAACCGTGTCGTATAAACGTATTGCAATCGCATAATAAATTCATTATTATTACGTTTTACAGGAAATTCAAAACAGCCGATGGTTACGCAGCTATCTTCAAAATCCAAGCGGGATGTTGCTAGTGTGCCTGTGAAAGTCGTCAATGGTGTCGCAATGATCCCTCCTGAGAACGGAGTGCAATCATTAGCCCTCCCTCCACTTTTGGCCCTCAACAACAACCTCTCCCAAATACCGGTACCTATACCGAATACATCCGTAGTGCGCTACGCAAAAATCAACACGTTGGTTAAAACTCCATGAAGGTATTTGGAGGTATTTGCGAATAATATAGGTTATTATTTTGCAAAATGTAAAGTAAAATGTAAAAATTTATAGGGCGATTTTTCAATCATCAAATAAAAAATATCCATTGAATAAATTATAACCAAATAATAAAACCATTGAGTTATATGTACTACGTACTACTACGTTATATTTATTATATAATAATATCTCATTTTATATCAAAGTCTTCGCGCATGCGCGACTACTACTCCCGCGCATGCGCGAAGACATAGAGTAGGACACAATTTTTGTTTGGAATGGCTTCTCCAGTACATAGTACATATAACTCAATGAATAAAACTGTTTTTGGAAGTGACACAACTGAACACTTTTATATACCACTGTCATTTTTTATTTGTTTCTCTTGTAGTTTATTCTATGAATACATTTTATATGAGGATCGAAAAATCGGACCTAAAAGTATATAAAAGTAAATATTATCTAAAAATTTAAATAAATAAATGTCGATCAGTCCTCCTTTTAAATCTTTTATTTAAAGTTCTGTCTATATATACATCTCACTTTTGCGTGCAAGCTTCTTCTAATTTGTGAGGGTTTTCAGGCAAAGAATTGTCCAACGCCCCGCTCCAATGCGAGTTGGCGGACTTTACATGTCTTAGAAATTATTTTATTTTATTTATTTATTTACACTTTATTGCACCTTAATAAAAGGATTACAAAGGGCGAACTTAATTTCATTAGGCATTCTCTCCCAGTCAACCCGGGAAGTGTGGAAATTAAATGATAGGTGATAAAATAAAATGAACAATAGAGTAAATCAAGGAAAAAAAAACTATTGATAAACTTAAAAATAAACTAACATTATATATATAAATACAATAAACTTATACGAGTATACTATAAAATATAATACAGACAATATATTATATTTACACACAAATACATAGATACATAAATATATACATATTATAAATACAAATAGATGTATAACATAAACCTATAAATAAAATAACAACAAAGGTAACCAAATTGACCATATTAACTATCATTAAAGTGCTTGTGTACCAATCTTTTAAAGGCAGTCTTATTTGATGTATTTCTGACGTCCGATGCCCGATGGCAAGGAGTTCCAGAGCAATGCAGCTTGAATGGTGAAGGATTTACCAACAAAATTAGTAAAATGTAGTGGGATACTTAGTTTATTATTATATGAGGACCGCAGAGTTCTATCATGCGTTGAAGAAATATACTGAAATTTCTCCTTGACATAAGAAGGAGTGGTTGGATCATTTAAGATAGAGAAGAGAACAAGCAAAATTCTAGAGTCACGCCTCTGTTTAATAGTGAGCCATTTAAGGCGAGAGAGATATGATCAAATTTACGAAGATTGAAAATGTATCTGACGCAATTGTTGAGTAGGCGCTCTAGCTTTTTAAGAAGATTTTGGCTTAAATCATAGTAACACACGTCAGCATAAGTAATGATCGGTAGTATAAGTATAATTTTAATGTACAGGCATAATTTTAGCCTTAAAGGGGATAAAATTTTTCAAGCGATAAAGAGAACGTAAAGAACCAGAGACTATGACATGTTTCGGAGATATGAGCCCCCCATGACAGAGTACTATCAATATGGAGACCAAGATTTTTAACTGAGGAAGAGAACGGTATCAGACGATCATTATAATAGATGGGAGGTAGGCTAGCGGCATCTGTTTTTGCAAGCATCCTTGAGCTACCCATAATCACCGCTTGGCATTTCGTAGGGTTGACAGATTCTCCAAAGCGCATGGACCAAACACGGACTGACTTGAGATTGGAATTCAATTTGTTAATTGCATTATGGATGTCACAAATGTCAGACTGTACATAAAATTGTAGGTCATCAGCATACAGATGGTACGAACAATCAATATTAGATGTGATGGAATTAATAAAAATAGAGAAGATTAAAGGAGAAAGTATACCGCCTTGCGGTACGCCAGAAATCAGGTCAACCCGCTGTGAAGTCATTTGCTCCACGTGGACAGACTGTTGACGTCCACGAAGATAAGATGAAAACCATTCCAGGACTGACGGTGCAAACCTATAACAAGAAAGGATAGCAAGAAGGATATCATGGTCAACTGTGTTAAAAGCGTTAGAAAAGTCAACGAGCACCACAACTTTAACTTTCTTGTTTTCCATTCCTTCTCTAATATCTTCAGTTATTTTAAGTAAAGCAGTTGTAGTGCTTTAACATGGATGAAACCCGGACTGAAAGTACTCAGCAGGTTATGTTTATATATGAAATTGGAAATTCGCTTATGAACACAGGCTTCCAGAACTTTAGATAGGAAAGGTAAAACTGATATGCGGAAATGATTGGGAAGTGTAGGATTGGATACTTTCGGAAGGGGTCTTACGAAAGCCTTTTTCCACTGAATCGGAAACTGACCTGAGTCAAGCGAAAAATTAACAATATGTGTAATTGCGGGAAGAATATGTTCTAGAATATTAATAATCATGGCTCTACTAATATCATTGCAACCGACAGCCTTTGATTTTATTGCCAGAAGAGTCTTTCTTATTTCATCCTGATCAACAGGGTTAAAAAGAAAGACTGGTATGTGCGAAGACGAAATTGAAGCTATGAAGTAACTGTTTGGGATCGGATTGAAAGGTCCAATGCAGAAGCAGAAGCAAAATGAAGATTAAAAGCATCGTGAGCACAATCCAAAGAAGGAACCTAGAGAACTAAGGAATTCCCACACATCAGCTGGCGAAGGATTACTTATATTGCTATGGATAAATCGGCGTTTTGCAGAACGTACCATTTGATTGCATTTGTTTATGATGTGGTACATGAGCACTTAAAATATTAATAACATGGTGCCGACTGGGATCGAACCCCTTTTGCTCGCATACTGTAAATAGCGCCTGAGTCATCACGGCTCATTTCTAAAAATATTTGTTAATAACACTGGATAAATACGGTAAATATGGCCTTAGGATATTCGCAGACAGGTTCGATTGTTTGTACCTATTGAACCACTGCTGTAATGTTCATGTGACGTCAAATCGTTCCTGTCTTAGGTTAAATAGGCTAGTTTATTTTATTTATTTTAGTTTTTTACTAACATATAGGTAAATATACTCGTATTAATAATACATATGATCCATGATAGTCGAAAGGAAATATTTTTATTTCATTTATTACATCATCATCGTCATCATCACCTCACTACCGCACGTAATACACAAAGGTTTTTGCTCTTATATTAAAAAGTCTACATAATATATTAAGCAAAATTGACTTCGTTGAATATGAAAATTTGGGACTGTGTAGTTTTAATTAAAACTTTAGTAATAAACAGCATTTGTAACTTTATATGAATCCATTTTAAATTGGTTTTTCCTTTTACTTTACCCTACTCTCTTCTAATAACATAGGCGTTGGTCGCTTCCCGGATCAAACACCTTGCCCGGCTGGAAGTATCCCCTTTTCTACGGCAAAAATGTCATTATTTTGTTCTATCATAATAGTTCAGATTATCAGATTTTCAAATAGAAATGTTCGCAAAAACTATTATACATTGAAGCACTGCAAATGCGTCTATACCAAAGTATATACCTGTTCATTCTATCGAAGTATTCCATTGAAGTACTTAGTATGTACTTAATACATATTACTTCAATGGTTGATTCACGCGTCCTAGTTGCGTTCAAAAGATTCCACACATTTACTACGTAGAATTTAACTAGATCCGCATTCTTTTATATAGTACAATGCATTGTTTTTTTTTTATACAAAGTTTAATTGATGATTTTATGTACTTTGTTATATTATAGTCTTTTAAAGTAAAAATGGAGTACAGAATCAAGTGTGAGGTTTTATGAACCGATATTGAAATTGATGCGATATGCGATGCGATGCCTTATATACTCGGTTGTAATAGTAAATTCTTCAAATTATCAATTATTACGGAGACGTAAACACAGAAAACTCTAGATGCGACCGTTTTTTTTAAGGCCAGAGATCGCTTATTTCATCTAGATGACAATTTAAATAACGGTCAGTAGAGCGGGGCGGGTTCTTTAACAATCAAACAGCTCAATCGACGTCGACTAAACCCATATATATATAATAAAAGAAGATTTCTATGACTAAACCATTCTACCATCGATCGATCGGTGCGGTAGAAACTATCGATCGACGTCGACATTCCAACACCGAGCGATACCGTCGATTCCCGTGGTGTCGTATGTTAACACCGTGTGTTATAACGTGTGGGTTCGAACCAGCTATTCGACAATTTTCGTGAACCACTCTAGCTAAAGCATTTAAGGTAAGCTTAGTGGAAGTGGCAGTGGTTGGCTGGAGTAGGAATAGGCAGTAGTATTCATTGTATTCCTATTTAGTAAAGAAATAATAAAAATATTAAATTCTTTTGGCTGTGGAAGGAAAAGAAGGTTTTTTTTATAGGATAGGGTGACAAACGAGCACACAGTCCACCTGATGGTAAGTGGTTGCTGTGGCCCATAGACATCTACATCTATCCGCGTTTGCCAATCAAAATGCAGATGTGTTGTCACCCATGAGGACTAAGATGGAATGCCTCATTTCCAGTAAAAAGGGTTTCCGGTTCTCTACACTCACCATACGAAACACAGTAGTTTTAAGCTGCTATTTTACGCTGGTATTCTGTGAGAGCGTGGTCCTTCCCCAGTCGAGCCGACCCATTCGTGCTACAACTATACTACTAATATAGCTGCAGCATGGCTCTACCACGTATAAAATTATTCCAAACTTATTTTTTGTAAATAATATTTCTCTCAAAATAGCAAGCAATTTCAACAATTTTACTCTTTTTACAATTAATACATTTCTGTAATTATACTCACCTGTTTTCTGTAATATTTACAAATATATCACTACCAGGAATCTACTAATTAGATCTTCATCACCACTTACCGCCAGGTACGTTTGTGATCAAGCGTTATAATAAGGAAAAGAAGAATAATTATAAGCAATAT